AGTCATGACTGTCGGTAATGATGTCCAACCGATCTTTCAAGATACGCGAACCCCTGCCAGAGGTGGAAGGCGCGCTCACTGCTGCGTTGCGGCAGGCCTACTGACGGGGCCGATGGTGCTTTCGGCTTGCCTCGGCCCGACTCGTGCGAGTCCGTCACCCTCCGGCGCGGCGGCCGCTTAAAGCGCCCGCCGATCACTTTTCGTCCCCGTCATTCCCGCCCGGCTATGTCCTACTCTATACTACTACTACATCGCCCGCACCCCTGGCGCTCAGCGAAATCGGCGAACGTTAGAAAACGACCGTTCTATCGCTGAAAACGCTGAGACCGCGAACAATACAGAACAAAGAAACGCGAGGCGTTTTAGCTTGCGTAGCTCGACTACGTGAAAAAAAAAAATTATTTCGGAGGTGTAACTCTCGTCTGCCAGCGCGATCAGCAAATGAAGATCTATGATATATGATTATGTAAAAAAGACTATAATTTTAATTTCTTTAAATATAATTTTGATGTGTTTCTTTCTTCTTTTTTCTATCAATATCCAGAGTTGTGAATCGATGTCCTCTCTAAAAGTAATATCTGATTAATCTCCAAATGCAAGGACAGTATGTGAATGATTTTTTTTTTTTTTTGTTATTTAACGTTAAAGAAAAAGTTATTGTGAAACACATGTAGATATGGATATATACTGCATGAAATACAAAAGCCATTTTAAAAGCATTTTGTATAGTTTCTTGTGTTTCACATAAAATGGCATGAATTGTTAATACCATCAAAATGACGCAGTTCTCCTATGTCTGATCAAACATATCCATAACTACTTTGCGACTCATCGTCTCTATTTCCCTGCCTCTTTCTGTTTCTTTTTTGCTTTTTCTTTTTTTCTCCCTTTTTCTATCTCTTTTTCTCTTTCTTCCTCGAACTATCGACTAAAACTATACGACACAAATTTAAAAAAAAAAAAAAAAATATTTAAAAAAAGCACTAAAAAGAAAAGCGTTTATCCACACAATTCTAGACTTGCTACACTCACAAATTCCTATGGCAATTAATTAATTAAAAAATCAAAATATATATGATATCACACATGTTATATATATATATATA